TATGAAAAATGACGACACGATAAAAAAAAATTGACGAACCGATGAAAAATGAATGACGACACGATCCAGACGAAGTGTCTGGTCGTGAGGAGGGGTGTTAAATGTCCCACACCGGAAAATTGAGAAGCACTAGAGTGCTATATTAAACTTCGGGCTACTCCTCCTAACAGGTTGACCTTTTAGGATGGAACCCCGTGTCTTAACATGGCTAGCCAGCATTTGTCCGGTGATTTCAAACGTCCTCTGAGAATCTAAGTCTAACTTTCATAAAGATTTTACTCGTTTACTTTTATGTGATGTCAATACTTTCTTGCTTAAATTGGACCATTCTAATATTCTGAGAATCCAGGTTATTGCCTTGAAAGAAGAGCTCCTCTCCACTGGAAAACACAATGACGATGTTGAAATAGGTATTGGGAACAGTGCTGATGCATCTTATGGTTTGAGCATAAAAACGGAAAGCATAAAATAACTACGAGCATGTTCGGTAGCACAAAAATCGGTTGCTTTGGCTGATTCTGCTTAAATTTATGAAGTTCTGGCTAAAGTAGTTGTTTTGGCTGATTATGCTTATTTAAAAAAAATTATTAATAAAATAAAGAAAAAATTATATGTAAAATAGCTAAAATGATCATCTACAGTAACTTCAGCCAATACAGCCAGAAAAGTAACTTCAACCACACTTTTTCTGCTTATTACACAGTTCAAAAGTTGCGTGTTTGGTGAAAAAGTTGACTGATAAGCCTGATAAACCAAAAAATAGTGTTGCCAAACGGCCTCTACAAATGGTTGATTTTCTTTTGAACTGAAATTCAATGCACATGGGAAGTATCAAAGATGCTCTTCTAAACAACTTAGTAACGAGATTTGGTGTATCCACATGACCTTAGTCAAATAACAAAGTGAAGCATGATGCTGAAGTAGCATCCACAATCAATAATGGAGCAAGATGCAAATGCGTGTATGCATGGACTTGAACTGGTGTAGGTCCAAACCGATTTGTTTTGGGTCATTGGGCAGATGGATCAGTGAGAGTAATAGGATATACCCGGTCCAGTTCTGGGTCTAGTCTACCCAGGCAATCCTAGTCCAATTCTCAGGCTGGTTTTGGGCAATGGGAACCAAAACATTAGAGTCAAAGAAAACAGTTGTTGGGACTGGTAACGGTCAGTCTGGTACCTATTTTAGGAACAGGTTATGACCTCCAGCCATGAAAGCAGTGTGGTTCGAAGTGATAAACACCACCAGTCCTGCCTCTGTCCCAGTCTGGAACATTTATGCACCTCGACTGCACATCAGACCAAAGGTATATATCTTCCGGTGCGACAATCTGGGGAGGTTTGTGTTAAAAGGGCATATTTAATCGATAGTCTCTTTCCCCACAAGGCCACAGACACTGATTGGGTGACCAAGACACTGGGAAATCAAGCATCACACTCTATCTTAACATGTGCATGGCAATGGAAAGGTCATCTCTCTCTACTTCTAGATTCCTATTCAATGAAGAAAAGCTCAATTATCCTCCTTTCATTGTCTTCCTCCATGTCCTCTCATACAATGAAGTTTTCGTACTCAGTCCGGTTCTTGGTCACATAACAACACTGTAAACGGTGTGCCAAGGCTTCCCTTGGAATACCACAACTAAACTTTACTAAAAATGCAGAAAAATCTATACAATTATGCAGAAAAAAATGTCTGGATCTTCGGGCTTAGAATTGTCGGGTGATGAATTTGTAGTGACATCAGCTCCAATATCACGTCATGAACGGGAATTACTAAACCGCTTAGTTGATACTGAATGGTGTGCAGCCAGCTCTCGGTTACTTCCTAGGAGGAGTGCTCGAATTAAGGCAAAAATGTTGGCTAAACAATAGAGATGATTTTTAGGGCTATTTTATTATGGTTGATTTTGAGGGAAGTCAGATCTTGTTTTGGGACTCTAGAAAGAAGCTTTACGGGTTTTTTATGGCGTTCGTGGTGCGTTAGGGATGATGGTCTCTGTGGATAGGTTTTTTTATTGCGTTGGGCGCTTGAGGCTTTGGCGGGATTGCTGGAGGAAGAAGTTTTTCATCAGCTTTTATTATTCTTTAGCTTTATCCTTCTTTAAGTTTTTTAGTTTGCTCTCACTTATTTCTAAAAAAAATCATGCAGAAAAAATACACAGAAACATGTTAAAAGTTAAAATGCACCGGTCATTTAACCAAAATGCATAAGTTATGTATAAGAAGTAAATCCTTCATACAATTATACATGGAGTTAAAAGTTTGAGGTTTATTTCTAAGACATTTAAAGCTCAATCGGACAACTAGAGCTATTTCACATGTTAGTATGTTAAAAAATCTACGCATTGTCCTATCTTGTTCGTTATCCTGTTGTTATTTAGAAATATGTCAACAACTTATGTGCTTAATCATGTGCATGATATATAGAAGAGGCAAAGTTGACTATTGATAACCTCACATCCAAGGTCCTTATACAGCTATACTTGGGATTTATTCATTTTGTCTGTTTCCTTTTATTAAGTTATATCACTTCAGATGTCTTTGTTCCCTTTTCTTTGTTTGTTTCTGAAGGATCATTTGAAAGTAAACCTCACAAAAGCAACAGAGCAAGGAACTACATATGTATTACTTAGACCGTCCCAGCAATTAAAGTCCATTTGTTATCTCTTGTTTTTAGCTTCTCAACTTTATCAATCAATTTTTCATCAAGCGTACAAGTTTTAATTTCGCGCGTTGAATTTAGGGATGGCCTCAGGCCGGTTCGGGCCTGAGCCCGGCCGGGCCTCGGGTCTGTTTTGTTGGGCCCGAACCGGTTGCCACCGGTTCCGGGTCCGGTTCCGGGCCGGGCCACCCGGTTAGTTAGTTTTTTCCCTATTCTTTTCTCCCCCCCCCCCACCCCCCAAACCCCCCAAACCGGTCCTAAACATCAAGCCCAACTCAATAAAGCCCAAAAAATGAAAAAAAAAAATAGTTTTTGGCCCGGACCCGAGCCCGACCCGGCCGGGCCGGTTCGCCAAATACAAGGCCCGAGCCCGGACCCCCCCCCCCACCGGGCCTAGGCCCGACCCGGACCCGAGAACCGGGCCGGTTCCGGGCCCGCACAGTGGCGGGCCAGGCCGGTCCCGGGCCGGGCGGCCCGAACCGGGTCCATGACTAGTTGAATTGTAAAATAATTAAAATAAATAAGATTTGAGTTACTTTTATACTCCATAGTTGAAATGGCTTAAATTTCTAAAGAAAGTTGTTTCATAGAATTTTCATACTTTTAATTCATACTTTTAATACAATTGTTTCATAATTTAACATAGGGAAAAGGGGCAAAAAGTCCCATGAAGTTGTCACCCAAGTTGATCTATGCCCTTGAACTTTTTTGGGGGGCAAATATCTTTAAAATCTCTTACAGGGGAGCAATTAGCCCCTCGATTCACGGTAAACCAATTTAGAGCATTAGCAACCATTAATCTTGTTCCTTTCAATTAATTTTATATACGGAGTATTTATTAACTAATCTTTTAAATTAATTGATATATGAATAAAACAATTCGAAACAATTACTCCATATAACGCTTAGAGCCCATTTGATAAGGTAAAATTGAATTAGTTCCTTTTTTTTAAAGCCCTTTATATTGTGATATAAATATTACCTAGTGGGAAATATAAAGGATTTTTTACAAAAATATTACTAAAATAATTTTTTACACAAATATAACTATTAGTTACTAAAATTTAGTGTCATAGTAACCTAAGTTCAAAAATTGAACATAAATTACTATGATTTCATTATTACTCTAGTCACTAGTCGCATTTTTGAAAATCATTTTTATTTTAGTCATATTTATGTAATTATTTCAAATATAAATAGACTAATTTTGTGTTGACATCTAATTTTTACTCTAGTTTTTACCACTTACAACCCATTTGGTAGCATATAGTTTGACTAATCCGTCAATGTTTTTGTGAAATTATATTAAACCGGCCATTTTAGCTAAATTGTTTAATAATAAAAATAAGTGACATTGAAATTAATTTTTTGGTTAAATTAATTCGAGTTGTTTAAAGTTAGCTATTTTAACTTTTCATCCGACTCTTTCTGGAACTCACTCTATTGAGTTTCGAACCCTTATGTGCCTAGCGGATTTCGAACTCGAGACCTCCCATTAGGCACAGTAACCTCACAATCACCTGGGCTGGAATGTTTGGTTATTCTCACTTGTTTTTATTATTAAACAATTTCAATAAAATGGCCTGTTTAAAAAAGTATAACTAAAAGATTGATTAATAAGCGGAATCATATGCTACCAAAAGGGTTTTATTTGGTAAAAAAAATAAGGTAAATATTACTCCGTACGTGACAATACAAAATTAGTCTTTTTCATATTTCATAATTTTATATCAAAATATAAAGTGCTAGGACCCTAATTCGATTTTGCCATTGCCATATAAAATGGGCTCTAATGGCTATATGGAGTAGTTCTTTTCTAATTGTTTTATTTATATTTATATTAATTTACAAGATTAATTTTTTTTGCATGGTGTTTACAAGAATAGTTAATAAATAAATAAATAAAATTAATTGAAAGGAGTAAAATTGCTAAGTTGCTAGTGCTCTCAAATTGATTTACCGTAAATTCAAGGGGTCAATTGCCCTCCCACAAGAGATTTTAAAGATATTTGCCCAAAAAGAAAGTTCAAGGGCATAGATCAACTTTAGTGATAATTTCAGGGGGCTTCTTGCCCCTTTTCCTTTTAACATATTCAATCAATCGCTTTAATATGAATTTCCAATTTCTGATTCAACAAAATTCAGTGTTATTAAACAGATTCTTAGGCAATTAGGCCTATAACTCATGGTTGTACGTCTACTCAAATGGTTTTAATTGGACTATATCAATTCCAAATCAGATTAAACTTAAACGCATCATATTAAAGCAAATCAGACTTTTAACAATTATAAAGCACACATATAACAGACAACAGACATCTACTAAATCAATTCGAACCAGGCTTAAACACTCAAAACCAAATCAAATGAGACCAGAAAATTACATCAAAAATAAAAACATCACAAATATTTTGAACGAAACCCATTACAGGATTACCGATTACGTAGAAAATACAGGTAAAGCGTCGTGGAAGTAATGAACAAGCTATATATACAGCAGCTATTGCCTACAAGGGCATAATAAATTCATACAATTTATTATAGCTATCAAATCCCGTGTACACATGATGAAAACTTTTGCACTTCGTGATCATTTTCTTGGATGAGAGTCCAACTCCGTGGACATAATCTCCAGAAAACAAAAAAAAAACAATTATAACTGATACAAGTTAGTTACAGCAGCACAGGATGCATTTCCATTTAACAGAAACGGGTAACTTTCCATTATTACAAACTGCATCTATCATCATCACTTTCTGATTGATAGGAACTCGAAGCTCCTGAAGGGGTCTTCGCGGGGGCCTTTTGCGACCCCAGCCCGAGAAAAAGACGAAAGCTTGGCTGCTTCAGACCCATTTTGAAGCCTGTGAGTAGTGGACAGGCGACCAGTACTTGAAACTATTCTGCTGGGGCGACTATCGGTTGCTTCAGAAGAGTTGGGTCTGCTGCTTGAAATTGCAGCTCTTCTTGATGACATGGCATTTCGGGATGTACGACCCCTATCAGTATCTGGTTGCTGCAAATAAATGCCACATCTACTTTTAGGGTATAAAATAGGCAATACAACAATATAGAACATTTTTGTACTTGACCACAGTGGTTCTTTGTAGGCTTAATTATATTCCTCATCCTTGTGGTGAGATTTTTTCTGTTATTCATACTTGACTTTGTTTCCTTTTTAGTCCGCCACGACAACTTCTAAAACAAAACTGGCCAGTTATTCAAAACTGGCCTAGCACTACTGAACTCTTTTTATCTGAGTTTTTCACACACTAATTAAAAATTGCTTCAGTTTATTTCAAGCCAAAGAAACGTGAAATGGAAGTTTCTGAAATAAGGTTTAATATCTTATTTCGAGAGAGCCATACAGAGACTTAAATTGAAAAAAAGAATGGTAAATTTGCCTTTACCCAAAATCCCCTAACAACTTCTCTTTTCAAACTAACCCGCCTATGGTCTGCCTGACTCAGTAACTACCTAGTTTTCGCCCAAGTACTCTAGTGCCGTGTTTTAGAACAATGAGCACTGCCTAAAATTTATTTCATCATAAAAAAATAATACCTAGAGTTAGCACGAATTTTAAATTTCAAGCAGATATAAGTGTTTTCATTTCAATGATGCCATGCACTCCTTCCATCCCAATAATGAGTCACATTTGGCCAAGTACAACCCTAAAAAGTAATAGCATATTACATACATATTTAACTTTTTATGTTGTTACTGAAGTACAACTCTTAAAAGTTACTATGTATTAACTTACCGGTTCAATGGGTATGTAACCTAAATAAATGGGACGGAACAAATTAATAACTTCTACTTTGCTTTTGTATGTGCATAGCACTTCTGTAGTTAATATGCAACATTAATTGTATCATATCTTTTCTAGCAAACGTTCTTTTGTTAAAAACCATTGGATTAGGCTACGTATTCAATTTAGACAAATATATGACATAAACTTAATCATACACATTCAAAGGTGAATATACACTCAATTATTCCTCTAACAATTTTGTAACTTCTTAATGACAAATTAAATGGAAAGAAATACTCCTTTGTATGATATATGAATCTTTTTTGGCATGTGAGGATTTAAGCGTGACACATTAACCTTCAAAGTACAAATTGAAAGCAAGTCAATGATTCTAAATGATCAAAATGATAGCTGAAGAAAAGAAAAAAACTTTACCACATCTTTGGAGGAAGGCACATCCTCTGACCTCTGTCTAGAGTGTTCAACATGGCGGCCAGAACCTGAAGTATTTCTCCTTGAAAGTGCCTCAACAGCACCAGAAAATTTGTCTCTGAGGTCTTGCCCCACTACATAAAAAGGACCAAAATATCGCAAATGCCGCCATGATGATAACTACCAACATTGTTCATTTTCTTTAAGGAAAAAAACAGCATACCTGATGTTCTTCCTGGTCTTTCAGCAGATGGCCCAGCATTTAATCCTGCACCCCCACTCGAAATCTGATCAAAAAAACAAGAAATAAATATCAACAAGTAAGCCAAAAATAAGTAGACAATAAGAAAAGGTTTTAAGAATCAACAATAGGAAAATAGTTTCGAAGCACCTACTCGGCCTCTCGAAGTAGCACCAATTTGAGGATATTTCAATATTGTCCAATCAAAAACAAAGTCAAATTGATAACCTGCAGAGGTCAAAAGGTTAAAACGCAGAAAAATAAACGTAACTAAAAGATTAGGAAAATAAACATAGAAATTTCAAAAAGAGGCAGAAAAGGAAAAAGATTCACATTGTCAGTTTACCTTCACGAATAAATAAATCTCTGAAGAGACGCTTAAGATAAGAATAATCAGGTTTGTCTTCAAAGCGCAATGATCGACAGTAGTGAAAGTAGGATATAAACTCTGATGGATAAGACTTGCACAGCACCTGTAGTGAAAACCAGATTCATGAATAGCTTGTTTGATAGCAGAAACGTGTGGCTCTATTTTTCATTTGTTAGGTATGCCATAAGGTACCTCTATCGGAGTTAGCATTTTCTTTTCGCTGATTTTATCATATTTCTGTTTTTTGGTACCAGCTCTTAATCCCTGCCACGGAAGGCTGATCAAGGAATAATTTTCAGATAAAATATCCATAATAATATTGAAAATTTGAAATGTATTAACTTGAAAAAATTACAGTCAAGAAATAAATAAAAGGTGCAACCCTTAAAATCTAACCTTCCTCTGAGGAAATACATAAGCACATAACCAAGAGACTCCAAGTCGTCCCTTCTGCTTTGTTCTATTGGCAAATAAAGAAGAGTTAATATGCAAACTCTACTTTGATTCTAAAACTAAATCAAGTCATCTCTAAAAAAAATACACAAACAAGTACATAAGTATGTGTGTGTGTTGATATCTGAAGTATTATTGTGAAGTAACTCACCAACACCAAGGTGTGTGTTGACACTAGCATAACGAGCTGTACCAGTCAGATTCTTGTTTTCCCTGAGATAGAATTAAAAACCCCAATTTGAAAGCTTCTTATAAACACAAACTTTTCATCCATTAGGTGAGGGTGAGAGAATAATAGAGACAATTTCTTAGTGCCTCCTTATACATCAAAAAGTAAAAGTCAGAGAAGTGGCAGAACCTGTATGGTATGTGCTTATGAGTCTGAAGATCCCTATACTTTTTAGCAAGGCCATAATCAATAATGTAAACCTGCATAAATATTTATCATCTAGTCATCTAGTAAGCTCAACGTTATGGAATTACTAAGCATAAAAAGTCATTTTAGTAGGCTAAGTGAACTACGCCTTGGTGCCAGATGGTACTATGCACCAGATCATTTGAGTCATTCAGCAAGCATCTATTTCTTAGCCAACCCAAGTATTCTGTGTTTAATCTATTCAAATAGGACTCTTTTTTTGGGAGAAAGGGAGTGGTATAACTGTATAAGATTGGGTAACATTCATGTTTGTGACTCGGCATTCAAGGTTGTTAAACTCGAGATCCTAGCACGGATCGGAAGGGGTCTAGTAGATCGTAACTCGGGGATCGTAACTCGGATTGTAAGATCCTACGGTGCAATATACACACACACACACAATATATATATATATATATATATATATATAACAATATAACATATATATATTATGCACTCAATTTAATATTTATATTTAACATTAATAATTATTAGTAGGAGTAATAACAAATTGAAAGATAAATTACAAAACATTTGAGATAAGAAGATCAAAGGTAAACTCCAAAACATTTGACATAACAAATTACATCTTAATATAAAATCATCCATCATTTGACCCACTTGCCATGCCCTAGTCGCTACTCGGTAGCTTCAGGACAATAAAAAGCAGTCCCAAAAGATTAAAATTGGAACTGCCAGAGTGCCAGAACAACTAAAGCGGACGAAAGATAGAAATCAGAGACGCGATGAAGAAAACGAAGCAAGAAGACTGATTTAAAGCGCAAGAAGCTGCGAAGAGCAGAAGATTAACGTTGCAGCAGGTGGCGCTAGGGCTTCGTTCATCCTAAGCCGCGATGTTTTTTTTAACTTGTCGTTCTGCGACTTCTTTCCCGTTTTTTAGCTTCGAAGTCGCAACTCGGGTAGATCGCAGAATCGGACGAGTTACGATCCTACTCGTCGATCCGACGATCCCAAGCCTTTTTCCGATCCTAGCAGCGATCCAGCTCGCACCTCCCTATTCTGATCGTAAAATCGTACGATCCTACGAGTTGGATCGCGATCCTAACAACCTTGTCGGCATCCATTTTTAAATTAAACTGGATAATGACTCATAAAAACTTTACCTGGTTTGCTTTGCGACCTAGACCCATCAAGAAATTGTCTGGCTTGATATCACGGTGAAGAAGACCTCTGGCATGCATGTACTCGACTCTATTTATCTGAGAAGGAAATCACACATTATCACCTATTCAACGCGATTGCAAACAAGCAAAAATATACCACATTTTTAAATTAATAATTGCTTACTAATTGATCCGCAAGCATTAGCACAGTTTTCAGTGAGAACTTCCTATTGCAGTAGTTGAACAGATCTTCCAAACTTGGACCAAGGAGATCAATTACCATAACGTTGTATTCAGGCTCAACTCCATACCATTTGAGATTAGGAATACCCGCTTCATAAGATGAAGAATATTTTTAAGATACATTTATCTTGAAAAGAATTTGATGGACTTACTCCAAAAGAAGATGATTTTTTTGCAACTTGCAAGGATAAAATTATATCCATAAGATTTTGTACAGTATCTATCCATATGATTTGATAGTGTTTTGATAAACTCTTGTCCGGCCCATCACCTATTTTGTTGCGTTTGCCCTAGTGATCCTACATAGACTTGACATCTAGGTTTTTTGAGGTGATGGGTTATCCGATCTCTGGATTGCCTACATTTTTGCCCACCTTTTCTGTAAATATGTACAATATTGGAAGATCTTTAATATATACTTACATTTCATCCAAAAAAATAATTTTTTTAAGATATTCACTGAATGTCCACAGTGTGTTTCAAAATATACTAACATACTGGGAACTAGGAAAATGGCTCACTAAACTGTCTGCGCTTCTTTGTTATGAGTCCATGCAATTTTGGATGCGATTTTCACTATGGGTCATCCGGAAACAGTCTCTCTGCTCTTTAGTACAGGGGTAAGACTACGTACATCCGACCCCCCCCCCTACCCCACCGTAGGTGGGAGCCTTTGCGGCATTGGGGCAAATGAAAATGATGATGATGAAATGACTGGGAACTAGGAAGATAGAAAGATAAAAAGTATAGCATGCTTCCTTGATGAGATGAAAATAAATAGATAAACAATATTAGTTGCAATGATTGCCTGAACTTTAGTGTCAGAGAAACTGCAACAGAATGCCAACAAAAAAACACAGAGGGAGAAGCAGAATTGAAAATGTTGAACAGTGAAATGATGATAACCAAAACAGAGAAAAGGAGCTTACTTCCTCCTTGGAGGAGCATATAAATCTTAGATTCATAGTGGAGCTGTGGGTGCCTGGTCTTGACTGACTCCTGATAATTTCATGAATAATAAATAAATTCTATAGCATAGATACAAAACATAAGGAAAGAAACACCGTAGAAGGACATATATTGCTGCTATATGATTAAGGCAGCTTTTAGGTTGTTTCCATTTTCCTTTTAAAAATTGGGATGATATCATATGTACCGAAGAAGTACAGATCTCTTAAGAGAACAGAAGGTGAATAATTGTGGAGACACGAAGAACTAAGATATATATTGTCATAGATTGTGGAGGCATGCGAATGAAAATTGCTACTTAAGATCAGACTTCAGGGCCTGATTTGCCAACAAAATGAAAAGAGTTTGAGCATAGCACTTGTCGTTTACATAATTTAAATAATTGTGCAACCATGAGAGGTTATAGTGTTATAGATAATCAGGGAAATCATGAAATCTTCTAGCAGTAATTATGTAAGTCATTTGCGGGAAACAAAGACAAGCATACCAGTTTGATGGCAACTTCTTCACCAGTTTGTAAATTGGAACCTGTATCACACAACCATTATATTAGTAAATAAATATTAACAGATGATACTTAGTCATAAGAAATGAAAGTCAACTGTAAGCATTGAAATTCACGCACAATAATTCAAAGTAGAAGCAAATCAAAAGAAAGGAAATCCAATCAAATTGGAAGTGCACGAATATACCTAAATAGAGTTCACCAAAAGACCCACTCCCGATCTTCCTCCCCATCTTAAACTTCCCATCGATAACATGATCCATGGCGATTTAGCCAACGCGAAATTATTGATTTAAATACCAAAGAATCCAACGCCAAGAAGCTCAATTTGCAATACGACCAAGCGTGAGAAAATCAAATAAGCAGTAACAGATTAACAAACACACGTGCCCCAATGCACACAGAATTCACACCTCAACAGATCGAACTTCATCGGTACACTATACAAGAAACTACGGAACAATCCTCGAACCAATTCATCAAAGTATTGTGCTTTTCATCGCCCTACATCCCTGGGAAAAAATATGAACAACATTTGTTCTGAACGAAACCCTAATTAGCCGCATCAACGATCATCATTGATCAACTAAAAATCAGTCAATGGTCGGAGCGATGAATTCATGGATACAAACACATACATACTATGCATCTACGGTTTTGTCAGAGATGAATCAGAAAAACTGCGATAAAGGAAAAGGAAACCTCGTAGGGGTCATAAGAAACAGACAACCGAGCGAAGATTAAGGGGGGAGAAAAAGGGGAAAGTCGTTTTACAGAAAACAATAAAAAAGGGAAAAAGAAAAAGAGAGGGCGAATTGTTTCGGGCGACAATGATGGTGGTGACTGTTGAGGGCCAGCCAGAGGAGATCCGAAGCTGCTGGCTGATGATGCTATTATTGTGTTGCTTTCCATTCCCATTTTTGCTACTTTCTCAAGTTGTGAACTTCATTTTTACTGCTCCCCCGCTTTCTAAATTCAATTTACAATTTTTGTCAAAAAAAAAACCAATATACGAAGTACAATTTACAATAATTAATTATTTTGCAATAAAAATAATTAATGTAAAGGTAGTTGATATTTGATAAAATGTGATTTTAATATTTAATGACTATAATAATCACTTTAGTAAGCATTATTATGGACACTTCTATTGAACGTGACCGTGTATATATGTAATAATTTAATCACATTTTTATTACTCCCTCCGTTCCCAAAAATACTTCTCACTTTCCTTTTTTGGGTCGTTCCCGTTTTCTCTTTTTGGACAATTTGTGTGACTCACATTCATTTTTCCTTTTTCTTACACAACCACAATCATTCATTTCCACTTTATTCCACTTCCTTAATAGGCGTGCAAAGTCAAACCGGGAAGGATTTTTAGGAAATTCGGCGCATTAGCCCCCTGTGATTTAAAAAATGCGTCAAACTCCCTTGTGTTTTAATTAATCATGCACAGAACCCCCTTTATGAATAAATTTAACAATTTGAAAATCATTTTTCCTAATATTTTGATTGAATATGCAAATAAATATGTCAAAATCTCTGAATCATACAAAAATGTTAATCATTTTTCTTTTATTTGACAATTGAATTTGTTTACATAAGGGATTTGGCGCATGATTAATTAAAACACAGGGGGGTTTGACGCATTTTTTAAATCACAAGGGGCTAATGCGCCGAATTTCCAAATCACAGGGGGATTTGGTGCATTAAACCCCAATAGCATATTGAAATTGATAACTAAACTCTACATATTTCGAAATTATACATATAATTCTATTGAAACACAAATATTAGATCTGAATATGAAGCACAAATAATACGAAGAAGCATAAACAGTTATCCAATAATGCCTTTACTGACTTTAAGTTGTTCATGCACGGCCAAATAAATTACAACTAATAAACTCTATTTCATTAAATTTTGCAGTGAAAGTCTTCAAATGGGAAGATGTAAACACAAGATAGAAAGTGGAAACGATTTCCTCCATGAAGTGTATGTTTGGTATCGTTTAGATCACCCCAATATCGCAAAGGCATGATAATATTTGACATTAGATCAGTACAGTAGTGTTTTGAAACTTAAATTGGATTTTTTATGAGCAATTCTTATCCAATTTGTACCCCAAACTGAATAAAACTTTCTATGTTTAATGCTCTGTTTGGACAAAGTGGAGTTAAGTAAACCTAGTGCAATAAAGTAAACCTAAGTTTTAATAAAAACTAGGTTAACCTAAGTGTGTGAAAATAATAAAAAGGCATACCAAACATGGTAGCCTAGATGTCATATATATAATAAAAGGAGTTCTGAGTACATTAGGAAACTAAATAAATATGGAAACCTAATTAAAGTATTAATTACATTATTACACCCCCTCAAGCTGTGCAAGGGAAACAATGCGCAGATTGTCCCTAAGAAAAAAGAAAACACTGAGGAGATAAACTTTTAGTGAAAATATCTGCAAGCTGAAATTGTGTAGGAACATGACGGACAACTAGATCTCCATGGGAAACTCTTTCTCAAACAAAATGATAATCGATACTGATATGCTTACTGCGAGCATGCTGAATAGGATTTGCTGACAAATAAGAAGCTGAAATATTATCACACATGAGTGTGACGGGTGCTCGAATAGGAAACCCCAACTCAAACAAGATGGAACGTATATGTAGAGTATCCTGAACAGTGTATGCAATGGCCCATTACTCAGCCTCAGTAGAAGAACGAGACACAGTAGGCTGCTTCTTGGCTTTCCAAGAGACCAAATTAGGACCTAGAAAAATAGCAAAACCAGAGGTGGATCGACTGCTATCAGGACAACCAGCCCAATCAGCATCCGAGTAAGCCTGTATGGTAGGAGATGTGGTGCTCGGCCGAAGTAGTAAACCATGCGAAATAGACCCCTGAAGATACCTGAAAATACGCTTAACAGCCAAAAGATGAGGTGTACGAGGCGCATGCATAAACTGGGAAACCAAGTGAACAGCAAATGTAATATCAAGTCGAGTCATAGTTAAATACTGTAAAGCACCTACCATACTTCTATACTCAGACGAATCTGCAAGAAGATCCCCATCAGTGAGAGAAAGTTTAGTTCGCGTAGCAAGAGGGGTACGAACAGGTTTATGAGTGTGAAGATGAAATCTGGTGAGAAGATCAGACACATATTTGTGCTGAGATAAAAATAAACCAGACGGTACTCGAACAGCTTGGACACCTAGGAAAAAGTGTAAATCCCCCAAATCCTTCATAGCAAAGCAGCGGCCAAGACATGAAATAAACGTGGAAATAAAGGATGGGGAATTACCAGTGACAATAATATCATCGACATATAAGAGAAGATAAATAACTGAGGAACCATGTCGATATATAAACAGAGAATTATCTGACTTACTGCAAACAAAACCATGGGTCAACAAGAAGCTACTAAATCTGTAAAACCAGGCTCTGGGAGCCTGTTTGAGGCCATAAATAGCTTTTTGAAGACGACAAATATGATTAGGAAATTGTGGATGAATAAAACCAGGAGGCTGACGCATATATACCTCTTCAGTCAAATTACCATGCAAAAATGCATTTTTAACATCTAATTGACGAATAGCCCAATTAAATGAAACAGCAAGAAATAAAACAATACGAACAGTAGTGGGCTTAACGACAGGACTAAAAGTCTCAGAAAAATCCACACCAGTCTGTTGAGTAAATCCCTGAGCCACCAGACATGCCTTATACCGCTCAACAGACCCATCTGAATTAAATTTAGTTTTATAAATCCATTTAGACCCGACCTTATTTTTACGAGGATTAAATGGGACTAAATCCCAAGTATGATTATCAATGAGTGCATTAAACTCCTCTGCCATAGCCTCTTTCCATTTAAGATCCCTATTAGTTGTAGAAAAACAAGTAGGATCACATGCCGAAATATCCGTTTTGAGATTAAAAATAGTTTTTGGTTTACAAATCCCGGACTTGGCTCTAGTTTGCATGGGGTGACAGTTTACCGGGGAAGATGTGGGTGATGAGAATGATAAAGATGAAGGTGATGTCTCAATTGTGTTTAAGGCGGACTGGTGGGATGAAGCTGGAGGTGTGCTGGGTGGGGAGGTAGATGACAAAGAGGTAGATGATAAATCTGGTGAATGTGGTCGGCTTGGAGTATTAAAGGAGAGGCCGGGGTCTGGCAGTAGCTCGGCCGAGGGTGGTGAAGGAATGGCAGCAGGGGTATGGTTCAGGCAAAGATTGCAGGCAGCTGGGAAAGGGTTCGGTCGAAGGTTCTCAGGCCGAGATGGGTTGTTATAAACTGGAAGAGGGGTCCGAATAGTGCTTTCGTGAAGATGAACAATATTAGGTGAAGACACTTGTGGCAGCACAGCATTTTTGGTAGATGAAATCAAGGCAGAATATGGAAAAATATCTTCATAAAAGCGAACATTCCTATTGATGTAAATCTTGCCACTAATAGGATCTAAGCAACGATAACCTTTATATTCGGGGGCATATCCCAAAAAGACGCATAAAATAGATCGTGGGGACAATTTATTTGCAGAAGTGACAATGAAATTTGGAAAACAAGCACATCCAAATACACGCATAAAAGAGAAGTCGGGAGAATGTTGAAATAATTTTTCAAAAGGAGAAGCACCATCTAAATTGGGAGTAGGGAGACGATTAATAGTATAGATAGCGGTAAACACAGCATCTACCCAAAAACTAGCTGGCATGTTTGTCTCAAGAAGCATAGTGCGAGTCAGTTCAAGTAAATGCTTATGTTTTCGTTCAGCTATACCATTTTGTTCAGGGGTGTCTGGACAAGATTTCCTAAACAAAATGCCATTGGTAAGAAAAATTTCACGCATACCATAATTATCAAACTCACCCCCTCCATCACTTTGAAAATTTTTGATTTTAGAATCAAATAAATTTTCCACCATTAATTTAAAATTACGAAAATGGGTCACGACTTCACTCTTACGGCGCATAGGATAAAGCCAAGTAAAGCGGGAAAAATCATCGATAAATAAAACATAATATTTATAACCACTGGTGGACAAAACAGGAGATTGCCAAACATCTGAATGAATTAAAAATAAAGGAGCAGTATATTTATGCCACACTTCTTGAAAAGGTAATCGTTGGGATTTGCCTAAGCGACAAGAAATACAATCATGAGAAAAATGCGAAGTACTAAGAATAGTGCCAGATTTTCTAAGTTTATCTAAAATACGACTGCCACAATGTCCTAAGCGACGATGCCAAACTGGTCCAGGGGCAACATGTGAGGCTAGAGCGACAGGTGAACAAGCAGAGATAGATATAGGGTAGACACCACCATTACTGGAAGCTTGAAGAAGCACCTTCCCCGAAATTTTGTCCTTAACACAAACAGAGTTTTTATCAAAAATCACAAAACAGGTATTATCGGCACATAATTTTTGAATGGATAGCAAATTATATTTAATGTGAGGAATATGATAAACCGATTTTAAATGAAGAGATCGAGGCAGAGTGGACAAATGCAAGTCACCAATAGTCATAACAGGTAAAGTAGAGCCATTTGCAACCGTAATAGAAAGTGGTCCAGAATAGGCAGATTTATTGACTAAAATACCTTCATTAGCGGTCATGTGAGCGGAAGCGCCGGAATCAGGATACCAAACAGTCGGAGTGGATTCACTGGTAGGGACAGCTAATGCAGGAGTAGAAGACTGAGCAAAGTGAGAAGGACAGGACACAGCGGAATGACCTGGAGAATGACAGATTTGGCAGACAACGGGTGGTGGTACTGAACCAAAATTATTCTCAAAAGACGGGAATCCTGCAGAAGCATCGTTAGTACAAAAAATAGAAAGTGCAAGAGTATAAAACGAGCCATGTGAAAATAATGGAAAGGCATACCAAACATGGTAGCCTAGATGTCATATATATAATAAAAGGAGTTCTGAGTACATTAGGAAACTAAATA